CCCCAAAACCCCAAAACCCCAAAACCCCAAAACCCCACGATAATAACATATTCTAATCTCGGAAATTGTAACAATAAAATTTACTTAATACTTATGAGATTGAATATAATATTTCTATGAGCAAACCAAGTGAGAGCTATCAAATTTTAGCTCTTTCGAGGAGTTTTTTGGTGATTGGATGATTTGGTTTTGGAACGCCATCCTTAGTGAGGAATTCAGTGAGCTTATAATAGCAATCAATGCTTCTATCAATAGTCTCTCTGAATTCTGAATCTCCAATATGAGAGTGAATAGGCATGTACACCACATGATCCATCAACCATTTAGACTGTTCGCATTCAGGTCTTCCTGCAGGTGGGTTTACATATCTCAATTGAGTAGCTCCTCTGTAAGCATTTATACCTCTGCTTAGCATGTAATCAATGAATAGTAGTTTGTTTGGAACAGCAATTGGGAATAACCTATAATGAAAAGCATTATTGTACAGTAAATCTATGCAATACTTACCAATAACCTCTCTCTCTGGAAAGATATCCAGGACAAAAAATGCCAGCTTTTGTAAAAGCATCTGTTGCTACCTATTATTTATTGAAACACAAGTTAATCATACCTAGTATTTTCTAGTATTCTAGTCGAATTCTTCATAATCGAAGTTTTCTATTCTTTCATGAAGGAAATGCAAAAGAGCAGCACATGGCTTTTGTCTGAATCTAGTGATAAATTCCTCTCCAGGTTTGAATCCTCTAGAGAGTGAAACATAGAAATCTTCTCTTTCTTGGCCTGACATTTTTGCAGCTAATAGTAGAGCCTTATTTCCTGGTGTAGTATTGACAAAAAATAGCAAAGTGAGAGCAACTAATAGACGTTTTCTGAGCATTTTGTTGTCATACATTGGATAGGTATCCTAGATAGCATTCATCTTATTGAATAATTCATCGTCATCTCTGATAACAGTTAATCCAGCGTACATTGCAGTTTGAATCTTAATTAAACCAAAACTGAACATTGTCATAGTGGCGTTTGGATTTCCGACAAACCTTTTAGTTCCACAGAAAGACTAAGCACAATCTTCGATGACATCGATCTTCTTCTCTTTAAGGTAGGCTGCTATTTCTGTGATATCATATCTAATACCAAACAAGTAGGCAAATAGCACACATTTTGTCTAAACAATCTCAATATTTACTAAACATTACTTTGTCTGTGATTGCTTCTTTAACTTTGTCAAAACTCTCTGGATGCATCGTGTTGATGTTGTAATCAATTGGAATAGGGACAAGTCCATGCTCCTTAATTATTTAAACCATGTCTGGAATGTTAATACCCATCATGATAATTTCTGATCCAGGTGGAAATTTGCGTGACTAGGATAGTATTAAGCAAAGAAAAATCTACTTAGAAAAACAAGTCAAATGAGGATCTAACACTTAGAGATACTAAGACTTTTTCCTTTTCATAGTTTCTTGAAAGCAGCAAGTTAATCTTTAAATGGTTATTGATTTTAATTATACCTTTGATAGAATGTAATGTCTATCCTTTTCTGTTACTGTAAGTGAATGTTTGAATCCATCTAACAACTTTTTTGGAGAAATTTGCAAGTGAACACCCTACCAAGACAAATTGGTGTCAGTCTTAAGTAAATTCTTAGGGATATCTTAAAACTTCAAATCTTCGAATTCTATATTGAGAATATTAGCATTAGGTAAATTAAGTACTCTTTTGGCTTGAAGATGACATTATTATTTTCAAAAATTGTTTATTATGCTAATGTTGATTGAAAAAACTATTATTAATCTTATTTTTATACCACATAATTCATCACATTTTGATAAAAAGCTATTATCAAACTCGGGGTTTTGGGGTTTTGGGG